ATCCAACATCTGCAGCATCCAACATCTGCAGCATCCAACATCTGCAGGGTTCTTGTAGGAGCGTTCATGTAAATAATGTCACCGTAATCAATGGAGGAAAGGAAAGTCACAGATACAAGGTGTTCCTCAGGGTTCAGCATTAGACAGGATCTGTTTCTGAAAAAGAAACCCAGTTTAACTTTCAGTTTCTTTACTAGGTTTCCACATGGAGCTTAAAAGATGTGAGTCGACCAAGATACCCAAATATTTATAGGAATCAACAAATTCAATGGGGACACCATTTGAGGATAAAATCGGAGGAAGAACTGCTGGGACCAACTTCCTGTTTGAAAACAGCATCCTTTTGGTTTTGTCAGCATTTAGGACAAGTTTGAGGTGGAACAAATCAGTCTGGATGATGTTGAATGCAGAATTCAAAAGCTGGAAAGCCTTAGCAACAGTTTTAGCTCAACAATAAACAACTGTGTCGTCAGCATAGAAATGTATGGATGCATTAGGGATGTTTTTACCTACATTATGTATGTATATTGTAAAGGGGGTGGGTCCTAAGACTGAGCCTTGTGGTACACCATTGTTGACTGTTAAATAACTGGAGGAAGTACCATTATGTTGAACACATTGCCTCCAATCTGAAAGATAGTTAGAGAACCAACCAATGGTGTGTTCTGAGAAACCAATTTCTGAGAGTTTATGACACAAGATGTTCTGATCCACAGTGTCAGAATCTTTAGACAGGTCTAAGAAAAGTGCAGCACAATAATCCTTAGCATCCATCCATATGTATTTATATTATGTATTTATATGTACTTATATGTATTTATATGTATTTATATGATGTACTTATATGTATTTATATGATGTATTTATATGTATTTATATGTATTTATATGATATATTTATTTATATGTATGTTGTTTGTATGAGGAACCTGAAGGTTCTGTTAAAACTGTCTCGCTTCTTTTTCATGTAAAATCCAGAGCACTGCATGTCGGAGCAATATTCACCCGAAGGGATTAAATACTTTTCCTTAAACCTACTAACATTAATCAGTAGTTTTTATGAAAGCCTTTTCTCCATTGAATGTGTACTTCTGCAGCAAAGGGCCATAGCTCCAGTCAGAAAAGAGAACGGACAGTAACTCTGGTAACATGGTGCAGAACAAAGTGATGATCATTTGCACGGTCTTCATCGTGATCATACCTGAAGTGACATCACAGGTTTCTAATAAATATGATGCATTCTTGGAAAGATAACATTATCATCATACTGCAAAATAATGTCATGCTGCTGAGAAGAACAGTTGTTGAGACATTATCCTATGCAGTAACAGGAAGTGATGTCATTAACAGGAAGTGAACACCTGCATGTGGACAGAGCATCATGATGTCTCACAACACAGAGAAGAATGTGACTTTTCGTACATTTTGAGTCACAATGAGAAAGACGAAGAGTTCAGATAATCTTCTAACAAACACCTGGAAGTTCTCGTTCTTGTCTGAGGAGCTGCAACAATGTCAGAGGTCCTCTGAGGAACTGATTCAACCTTGTTAGATCTTTTCCATGACATGACGTTCAGCACTTGAGCACATCTCACATGGTCTGTTGACAGTGAGACAGCTGTCGGCCATCGTCTGATAAATCCACCGTCACCTTCCTCCTTCAGCTGCGTCCATAAATCTGCATAATGATGCAGCGAGCCGTTATGAAATATGCTTGAACTCCAAGACAGCTCCACCAGGACTGGTGACCACGCGCAGCAGGGACCGGACCAAACCCTAACCCTGCTGCGTTTGGTTTGCTGCTCTGACCCTGTCAGGTCATCCTTTGCACATACGTTGTGCTATTTTAGGAGGCGGGGCCTCCGACTTTTGTTTTTATTATTGTTCTAGTGAACGTAATGTCATGTTCCTCTGACTACAACTGCACACATTATTCAGGTTCAGGTCCACAGGACTGGAGACAACCTCACTGGACGTGTCCACAAGAAGACACACAAACAAATTAAAGGTGAACATGCTACTTTTAAAATCTCAAGAACTCCACGAGTTTATAATTTAGGATTATAATCCCGTAGATCCCTTCCCTAGGCTGCCACCTTACCGTGGTGGAGGGGTTTGAGTGTCCCATTGATCCTAGGAGCTATGCTGTCAGGGGCTTTATGCCCCTAGTAGGGTCACCCATGGCAGAGAGGTCCTAGGTGAGGGACCAGACAAAGTGCTGCCCAAAGACCCCGATGATGAGACAAATAAATGGACCTAGTGTTCCCTTGCCCAGACGTGGGTCACCGGGGCCCCACTCTGGAGCCAGGCCTGGAGGTGGGGCATGCGGGCGAGCGCCTGGTGGCCGGGCTTTTACCCATGGAGCTCGGCCAGGCACAGCCCGAAGAGGAGATGTGGGTCCCCCTTCCCATGGGCTCACCACCTGTGGGAGGGGCCAAAGGGGTCGGGTGCAATGTGGGATGGGTGGTGGCCGAGGGCGGGGACCCTGGCGGTCTGATCCTCAGCTACAGAAGCTGGCTATTGGGATGTGGAATGTCACCTCACTGGTGGGGAAGGAGCCTGAGCTGGTGTGTGAGGCTGAGAGGTTCCGGCTAGAAATAGTCGGACTCACCTCTACGCATGGCTCGGGCTCTGGAACCAGTTTCCTTAGAGGGGCTGGACAATCTTCCACTCTGGAGTTGCCCCTGGTGAGAGGCGCCAAGCAGGCGTGGGCGTACTTATTGCCCCCCAACTTGGTGCCTGTGTGTTGGGGTTCACCCCGGTGAATGAGAGGGTGGCCTCCTTCCGCCTACGTGTGGGGGGACAGGTTCTGACTGTCGTTTGTGCTCATGCACCAAACGGCAGTTCAGATTATCCACCCTTTCTGGAGTCCTTGGAGGGGGTACTGGAAAGTGCACCTCCTGGGGACTCCCTTGTTCTGCTGGGGGACTTCAATGCTCATGTGGGCAATGACAGTGAGACCTGGAGGGGTGTGGTTGGAAGGAACGGCCGACCCTGATCTGAACCAGAGTGGTGTTCTGTTGTTGGACTTCTGTGCTCGTCATGGATTGTCAATAACGAACACCTTGTTCAAGCATAAGGGTGTCCATATGTGCTCTTGGCACCAGGACACCCTAGGCCGCAGTTCGATGATCGACTTTGTCATCGTCTCATCTGATCTGCGGCCACATGTCTTGGACACTCGTGTGAAGAGAGGGGCGGAGCTGTCAACTGATCACTACCAGGTGGTGATCTAAAAAAGTTAAATCTGGTCCTCTGGATATTCAAAAAAACAAAACAAAGCAAAACAAAAAAAAAATGTAGAAACGTTTCGTCTCTCATCCGAGAGACTTCCTCAGTCTGAGCTGCTGTATTCAGCTCAGTCTCTTAAATAGCACCTTCTCAGGGTGGATCAACCAGTTTTGCTGCAGTTTTTTGAATGTCCAGAGGACCAGATTTAACTTTTTTAGATTTTTCTACCTGGATTATTGAGCATGCATCAGGATACCAGGTGGTGAGTTGGCTCCGATGGTGGGGGAGGATTTCGGTCAGACCTGGCAGACCCAAACGTATTGTGAGGGTTTGCTGGGAACGTCTGGCAGAGTCTCCTGTGAGACGGAGTTTCAACTCCCACTTCCGGGTGAACTTTGAACATGTTCCGAGGGAGGTGGGGGACATTGAGTCTGAGTGGACCATGTTTCGTGCCTCTATTGTCGAGGCGGCTTACCAGAGCTGCGGCCGCAAGGTTGTCGGTGCCTGTCACGGCGGCAACCCTCGAACCCGATGGTGGACACCGTCGGTGAGAGATGCTGTCAGGCTGAAGAAGGAGTCCT